CTAGTCCTCAGAGTCTTGCAAAATTTGAACTTGCTTCTTTTTCTCAGACAAATTACCAGAGATTACAACTGAGGAAAGATTGCAAGGCATGACATGGTAATTATTCTAAGAGATAATTAGGAAGCAGAACAGAAAAATATTACTGAAGAACTAAGACAGCTGCATTGTAACTTAAAGCAAAATTGCTGAAACTCACAGCCATAGAGGGGTGGTATTTTTGTGTGTTTGATGTGGAAAATGTAGTCAGCTCACTAAATATCCACCATTTGCTTTTACCCCAGGAGGTCACAGGCATGAGAATCTGAGTCAGGAGTGGTGCTATTCCAACCATTCCATCACCTTTTCCTGAATCAGAATGGACTGTATCTAAAGCTTTCTCTCTAAAGTTCTCCAATGTGTTATTGAAAACATAAACAGTGTCACTAGTGACTTCTATCAATGTTCACTGCCCAAATTAGAAAATGTTGAAAAATCCAATATAAATTCTCCTAGCTGTACTTTTATTTCCTTATGACTACTCTGAATGTAATGGGCACAGAGAAGAGCTTAGAGACTTTCTCTTTGCAGTAGCAAATATGAAAAAATCATTCATTTTTTCCTTCAATCTACTCCTTTATGAATTTAGTCTTTTAAAAAAGTGACCAATCCAAAGAGAAGCTAATTCAAAATGATGGGTGGTGTTGAGCCAGTTAACTTCAGGGCTTGATCTGATGCTGATGGAAGTGATAGGAAAGTGATCCTGAATCACAGGAACTGCATTTTGGCCACATAAAGTGCCAGTGCCCTCATTCCTGCTGCAGCCAGACCCTGAGATCTCTGGGCAGCCCAGAGCTGGCTGAGCTTCCCAGATCCATTAGCAGTGTTAGCTGCTATGTCCCAGCCCCCTGCCAGCTGGACTAAGGGCAGGGAACCATCACACCATCCAGGATTCCCAGATGGTGATCTTTACTTTTAATTCCCTGTGCTTTTGCTCTCTGCTAATGTGCTTTCATGGCTATGTTTGCCACCTATTTATCCGTGTATGTAAAATGAAATTTCCTTGTTTTCTCCTCCCCTTTTATTTCCTCTGGTTGTTTCACACGGTGGCATCTGTGGAATGCTGTAACTTCATTACATGTTTAACATGCAAATTGAGGGCAAGGCAAATTTAAAAGTTCTACAGATTTGTTAAAAGCTCCTACAGTTTACTTTGGAGCTTGTCAACATCCATTAATATATTTAGCATCATTGCAAGCACCTATGCTTACACATAAAAATAAGAAAGCTGTTTGAATACATAGAAAAATAGAAGGCATTTAGTATTCACACATCATTCGTTTGTGAAGTATATAATTCTATACTAGAAGCTTTATATTGTAATATTGAAACTAGTGATTCCAGATAAAAGGAGTGAAGCTGAAGTTATTTTGAAAATATTTAATACTTATTTTTAATTTTTATTGATAATCTTATTTTGCAGTTGGGGTGACATTTTATCACATACCCTTCTTTGCTCTTTTGCACTCTGGATTTGCCTTACTCTGGAGTACCTTATTTTATCTTCCTTTTTCATGGTCTGCAAACTTCAGAGTTTAGTTTTATGTGCACTGTAGGAAGCAAAAAGACAACAGCCTCTGAAGTTACCAGAAAGAAATTGCACCCTGTAAATGCATTTTGGGATAGCTCTGCTAGTCTTTATCTCCAGATAATAGTGGGTATTGAGGAAGCATGCATATCTATAAATACTCCATTTCTGATTTTCTGGTTTTTATATTTGCATTCACAATTACTGGGCAACTTCAGATTTTTCCATGCTGGCACAGCCTAGATTGACTTGGGTACCTCCATCCAAAAGGAACAGAAATCCTCTATGTTGGCACACAGATAATGAAATGGTATGGCAGCAACATCACTTGCATAATTAAGCATCAGTTTATGCTGAAGAAAGAAGCAGGCATTTCCAGCTTAATTGTTGCCCTTGTCTCTGAGAGATCTGTTCCTTCCAAATTCTTTTTCTCTTAAGAGATTTATCTACAGTGTAATTAGGAACACAGAAAAACCAAGCAATGAAAATGTGTGAATATGCAGGCAACAAAAATACTTCATGAAGTGTGCAGCATGCAGACATTATATTTCTCCTTCCCCTCATGTGATCCAAATTCATGACTTTACTAGTGGTATAAATGTTTCTTGTAATATGTGAATAGAAGCTGAAATTTAGAGTATAAAGGCGTACCTGGATTACAGGTTTCTATTAAACTGCATTTAATAGCTAAATCTTCCCAGATGTAGATATTAAATACAGTGTGATAGAAAATGCCACTTTTACTATTTTTTCAAGCATGAGGCTTTGTCCAAGCTTATGGCATCCAAAAGAAGATTAAATCCTGTATAAGGCTAGAAATAAAATACAGTAAATATTTCTTATTTGTTATTAAATCATTGGAAGATAATTTAAAGTTCAGTCCTTTATTCAGACTGCTAGAGTGGTGTTGAAATCCTTAAAGCATTCAGATGGTGCAGTAATTGCACACATCTGATGCCAAGACTGCAAAACTTTGATGAAAGCTGTGTCTTTGTTTTTGCTGTAGATAGATCATGTTCTCTGCTGCAGTGAATTAAAACAAAAAACTTCAGTAATGTCTTCCCATGTTATATCCAAATCTAGCACTCAGAGTCCAATGAGTCATGTCAGCAGCAAGGCTATAAGTGAATTTATATTTGTGTCTGAATAACTATCCCTTTAAGTTTTTAAATGGTTCTTCCTTTTAAGGGCTGCTAAATATGCAGCACTTGCCTGAGCTATATGGACTTCCTCATTAGGCTGATGAACTTCAAAGCAATTGGGGTTCCTTCCAAGTATGAAGGGAGGACACACAATGCATTCCAACTGAAGCTGAGGATAAAACGTACATTTTTTTTTTAAAACAAAATGTCCCAAATGATTAATTTCTTCTTCATCTAAAAGAATGTATAATGTTTTCTCCAGCAAGTCATTCTTTCTCCTTGCCATTTCTGATCTGCAAAATTAAGTTTTACTTGAGTGAAGTCCTTTACTGACCTCATATGTATCAGATTTTCCTCTGTGGAGTTCAGAATATGTACATAACCTATGAATGAATTCTGGCCACATTTTACTGCAGACAAGTACTTAACAGTGTTTCCTCAGTCCTTTAATTTTCAGGCTTTTAGATTTTATTTTGCTATAGTTTAACCATAGTCTGCCCAAGTCCTACAGGTGTAATTAAGATTGGATATCTTTTTAGTCTATTAGAGTTAACATGTAAAAGAGTTTCAATAGAAAGACTCTTATTTTCCATTTCAACAAATCTCATTCTGGAGATGGATTATTTAATTGATTTTAGCATTAAGGAAAGAAAATGCAAATTCTAATTTGAGTCTAGAGTCTAAGAATGAAGCCTGATTCTTTGGCACAAGGTGAACTTTAATGAGCTGTAGTGCAGTTGTCTCAAAGTTGTTTCAGTCCAAATAAAGTGCAGGACCCAGCAGAGTTATTTCCACATGGTAAAATTCTGCACTGTGGTGAGAATAATCTAGTAATTTTTTAATGACTAATAAGCTGTGAGAGTAGGATGTTAAGACAAAGATGGAAACGGTTCCCTTTTTGAAGTTTAGTGGTCCTTTTCTCATGTATTAGGTTATGGAAAATATTGCATAAGAAGAAGAGGAAGGAACCACAGTAGAGTGGGTGCTTCTGAGAGGGAGCCTTGTAGAAGGTTGATAAAATAACAGAGGCTGCTAGCATGTGTGTGTGGTTTTTTCTTCCATTTCTCTGTGTTCAGTGTGAGATTTGTACTAGTAAAGATTAAAGGGTTGGACAGTAACCTGCTCTGCAGTGTTCTGCCTGGAGACAAGGAATGCCTGTGGTGAGGATGGATTCCCCCAGGCCAGCTGCACACACCTGGCTGCTGCTGAACCTGTGCAGGGCCTGAGGATGCTCTGTGTCCCTGAGGGTGACATGACTTATTCACCAGGTCTAATGCTTCCACAAGAGCTGGGGCAGATGTGTGGAGGCAGGAGGAAGTCTGCAAATAAATGCCACTGCATAGGGCTTGTCATGTAACATAGTGAAAACTATTTTCTTAGAGGGATTGTACTCTTATGGGATTTTCAGGTGCTAAAGCTATTAAGTATTTCTCTGTGTTGATGAATTAGGCTGTTAAATTCCTTATCTGGATTTACCACCGGGAACAATCCTACATATTTTGTAGGGGTGTGACATGACATTTACTTTTCATTTCTCGGGGTTATGTGCTACTGTGCGATGTGATGTACTTGGACAGTGCTTACCCTGCATGAGAGGGGATTCTTATTCCAAGAACTGAAAAGATAACATGAATTGAAGTTTAAAAAAGGAATTTTTGCAGGCTGCAGAAGCTGGCATTTTTTGTTAATTTATTGTTTTTACCCCCAAGAAGGGAGAAACGGGAAAAATGTATTTCATAATTGTGCATGACTGCTTACAATTTTGGCAGTGGAGCACAGAGCCTACTCTCCCTCAGGTAATGTAATTTGCTTTCCTATTGCCTTTGGACATACTAAAAATGCAGCACTTTGCAAGAAGGCAGTGCAACACACAATAGATGATCATTTGGTGATAGAAAATGCCATAGAAATAACTTGGTGTTGTATGACATAACTTTACAGAGCTTAATGGAGTATAACCATTATACATGTATATATGAACAATATTATGTCAGTGGCTTTAAGATGAGAGAGCAGTCATCCTCCATTGAAGTTGCAGCTATTTTAATCAAAACACCATGATTTCTATAAAAATCAAGCCTTAGGTGTTCTTTTCTGAGATGTGGGAAGGCCAAGAGAAATGGTATTTAGATGAAGTACATGGAGGACAAACACTGTACAATATATTTTATTACTGCTTCTTCTTTTCCTCACTGTTAATTTTCTTTTTCTGTGGCTTGTGTTCCAGTTTCTACGAAGTGCCCCAGACTGAACTTGATGTTTATCACAGATGTATTTGCTGTAACCCTGAATAGCAGGAGTACTATGCCTTTCATGGGTACAGAGCCAAGAAACAATAATTTCACAAAGTCTGCTAGCAAGAAGTGGATCCTCAAGAGATGTGGATTGCCAAAATGTGCAAAGCAGGTATTGGTGGAAATGTTATTACTCAGATTTTCTGTGGGATACAGGTTTAGATTGAATAGGTGATTCATTAACACTTAAAAAATTAGTGTTGCTGTATAGCATATAGGAAATTACTGGCAATTTGTCTCATGCTGATGAAATTAATTGTCATTCCAAAGGAAGGATATTTTTTTTTTTGCAGTTCCACACTATGTGTTCTGCTCAAAAAGAAAGCCAAGTTGACATAATCTCATCATCATCTTTCAGCTATTCCTAAATTTCTCAAATTAAGAATCTTTTCTTTTTTATGTCTGATTTCATCTAGCAGATATAAGCAATAAAAATATCCATGTCTGGACAAATTCAAGTAGGAAATAGGGATGAAATTTTTACAGCAACTGTGTGAGCAATTTACCAAAGTTCTGCATCACCTGAAATCTTTACATCAAGGTGATATTTCTAAAGCAGACTTTACAGTTCATCTACAAATCTCTTTTGTTGTATTATGCTGTTGATTCAATAGTACAATTACAGAGGATCTATTTGGTCTCAGAGAATCCTTTTTTCTTGTATTTTTTCCATTTTTTAGTGGAAACTAAAGTTGTTTGGGTCTTAATCTACACAAAGTTGGTTTGGTAATGCTTTGGGATTTGTAGTTCTGGTGAGAATCCATGATTTATGGACTAAAATAACACAATGTATTATTTATAACTACTTTCATTAATGATTTTGGCTAACCTGTTGTGACTAGAACTCCCTTTAACCCTTCTGTATTGAGAAGTCTGATTTGCTAATTTTAATCCATCTTTCTCACATTCTCTCATTCTATCACAAACAATATTGCATTATGAAACACAGAAGAGCTTAATTATATAAGTGTTTTTATGATGTTAACACAAGTTAGACTGAAATAATTTGCAGGTAGCAATGTTTTTACCCTGGTAATAATGGTTTTGAATTACTGCTGTAGGAGATATTCAAGCCTGAGGGATATGCCAAATGTTCAGACTGACTAAAGAGAAAGACTGGAAGTATCTGAAACCCCACAGCTCTGCTAGTCCTGGTAATGGGAAATCAGATTTTTCATAGAGGAAACAAAGCTGAGTGAATCACATACGTTTCCTTTACTAATTCTTTACAGTTTAAGCTGTACAAAAATATGTGAAAGTCAGCACAGAAGGTCTGTGATTGAAATCCTTCCCACTTGGAAAATTCCTCCCTTCCATCTTCTCTGATTCTGATGTGCACGTGGTGGGAATCTTAAGTGTGTCTGTAGACACTAGGAAGGTGGCAGTAATGCAAGACTGGTGATGGGAGAAATTGGAATTAAATACCTGGACCAGTCCAGTGTCCTATTTTATTCATGAAACACTACAATGTGCAATTTTTACTTTTTTTTTTTTAATGGTCTAAATTTAATTGACAAATTTGGCAATTATATAAACTGAAATGATGCACAGAAAGGAGAGAACACCAATATTCTCAGTTCATGGAAGCATTCTCTGTATTACTTGCAGAGTTGGAGCTCATTATGTTGTTTACCTGTGGAAATTATCCTTTCTGTATTTCTTTTTCTCAAGTGGCAGCTTCTCTATGACTGTGTTGACTGGAGTATTAAGATATGAAAGGGAATCCTGTAACAGTTGGGATTCAGTAGCTGTAGAGAAAGAGGAGAAAAAACCACATCCTACTATGCTCAGAGAAAAGCCTAGACCCTATAATTAAGATAACATTTCATTTGACAACTGAACAGGAGCCAGACCTTCAGTCATTTTGGAGCTGGTATATTGCCAGCAATTATTTTAAATCTCTTTAGTTGCCAGATATTGTTGCTTTTCTGCTGTCTGGCAGGGCACCAATGATGCTGATCTATGATCCAACCAAACAGGAAGAATAAATTAACAGCAGTGTAACTGGTACATTCTCAATCCACCAGAATTAACAAGTGCAAAAGAGACAGTCATAAGATAATGACTGCCTGTAGGGTAGACCATGTTTAAGATACTCTTTACTGAATGAGAATGTGGAAAGGCTCATGACAATGAGACTGAAGTAATTGCCTCTCGTATTTTAAGAAAATATTTTAAAAAGGTATAAATTCTGCATTTTATTCATGCTACTAATTGAACACCTTGAGTTTTCCAAATCAGAAAGCAAGGTCTCTGACCAAATTCCCTATTTATGCTGAATTTTTACACATTACTGCCATTTATTGTTGAGCATGCAAAGCCATATATATCCAAACTTGGAAAACTGTTTGGAGTACAAATATCACATACTTTTCTGCAGCTGAGGTAGTGTTCTTGTAACCTGGATATGTGCTTGACAACTCTTGGTGGTTCTTCGGTAAGCCTCTATACTGGGGTATCAGTTTCTAGCAGCTCTCAGATTTGCTGATGTTAATGCTCAACCCTCTTTAAAAAATCCCAAAAAATAAAAAAAAAATCAAACAACAAAACCAAACTTTAATTTCTTCCCTCTTAATTGTAAGTGAATTGTAAGTAAATTGTAAGTAAATTGTAGGTAAATTGTAGGTAATTTTTGGGTAAATTGTAAATAAATCTCCCAGGAGCTCAACCTCTGCTTGAGCCAAGCTGGTGCTGGTGTGAGAGAATAAAAGGGAGACTGAGAACACCTTGAGTGATTCAGTGAATTTGTGTTGTATAGAACTTTCACTTCTATATACTCACAAAACTTGTTTTTGTTGTTTGCAGTTTTATTTAAATTTGTTTGTTCTGACACATTTTTTTTAATTGATAAAGGGTCGTAATACATAATCATAGAATCATGGACAGGCTTGAGATGGAAGCAACCTTAAAGACCAGCCTCTCCCCAGCCCTGCCATGGGCAGGGACTCTCCCACTGTCCCAGGCTGCCCTGAACCCCAGAGTCCAGCCTGGCCTTGGACATCTCCAGGGATGGGGCAGCCACAGCTGCTCTGGGCACTTGTGCCAGGGCCTCAGCACCCTCACAGCTGAGGCTGTGACAGGTCAGTGGTTCCCAGGGTTTTCCTTTCTCCTTAAAAATGAGAGCAATGTTTGCCCTTGCATACTCTGCTGGGACTTCTCTGTACTGCCATGACTTGGCTGGTCCTTGTTTCCCTGCCTGTGGAATTGCTTCTTTGCCTTTAGTTTGAATCAGTGTCAAACGTTTCCTGTAATAGTTTGCAAACTGAGTTCATTTTCCATTGCTCTTTCTGTGCTCGTAACTAATGTGCTTCATAAGCAGTGAGCTGGTTGATTCTTTTCATTACTGGGAATCATAAATACAAAATCCTTAACATAAGCACATTTTATTCTAATTTGCGATGCTGTTTTCCAATGAAAAATGAAATGGAGATTTCTAAGTAACATAACAGTAGGAGCAGATGGAAATCTTATCTTCAGAGTTCTAAAGGGAGCCCTATGGAGGAGCCTAATTCAATTTCATGTAAAAGAATGATGTTTTGGTTCTTTTATTTAAATGGAAGGGTTTGATCTTCCCAGAAGAAAACATTTCCCTATTGCTTTTCCCTTTGCTGTTAAAATAGCTAATCTCATCTAGGTTTTGTAAACTTAGATAATGTAGTCAGATTTTTATTTTATTTTTCTATTGCCTTTGGACTCATTGAATGATTATTTTTGATAAGAAATATACTTAAAAAGAAAATCTGCAAGTAGTTTATCTGAAAGCTTTATTTTTATATATATAAATCTTAATCTTTTTACTGATGGATGATGAGAAAATTGAGATTAAACACAGAGTTAAATCATGTGCAGAAAGACTTGTTGCTTCAATGTACGATCATGTTGTCCTTCCCTGCATCCTTATTTAGAATGGCACTGCCTTTCAAGCTAAATACATAAAGTACCACTAACAAGTTTTCACAGCTCTGCTTTAGGGTACTTCAAGGTTTATTTATATGTTACATCTCAAGATCTTGCATCTGAAGCTGGAGTCCTGCCATCTGTGGTTAACTGTGCATTAAGGGGATTGCTGCCAATACAAGTGTACAAGATGACAAGTATGATCAGTTGGAAATTATCTGCTAGGAGTAAGATAGAAGCACATCTAGGATATAGCTAGAGCCTTGGATTAGTGGAGGGTGTTAATTTTCCGTGACACATATGGTTGTTCAATACTTCCCTACTTTTAACCCTCTGTAGCTCTCAAAGGATGTATTTCCACATCCCCTTTCCCCAGCTACATAATTGTAAATAAATAGAGCTCTGTACTATTTTGGAGAGTTACTTCACTGATTAAGCAGTGAAAAAATAATACCCTCTAACAATGGAGATATCCTGGCATGCAGAGAAGGTAAAGAATATGGTTTTACACAATCCTGAAGGTCAGAAGCACTTACATTTAAATCAAAGAGGTTGTGGCTGAAAGACACTGTAAGGACTGGAGTTGACAGAGGTGCCAACATGTTTGCAGTCTGTGGGCATCTTTGCCAGCAGACAATTTTCTAATACAAGTTTGTGTAAAAGCACATTTTTGGATTTATTATTTTTTTAACTTTTAGGTTTTTTTAAATGAAAGAGTTTGGTATGCCCAGAAAAAAGTATTTCATTATTACTTTGTCCTTTGTAGTCAAATAACTCATCTCCTCTAGGCTTTGTGTGTTTAGATAATGTACTCTGATCTTCTCAACTCTACAAGAGCATACAGCCTTTCCTTTCCATGAGACTTGCAGGGCATGGGGCCACCTTAGCATCTGCCTGGAACATGAATCATGATTTGTGTCTGAGCACTGCTTGCTGTGAAATTTTGGGTCACACTGATGGCTCATGAAGTTTGCAAAGGCAGTGGGGTTGGACATTGGCCACTGTGCAGGTCACAGCACTCTGCTGGCTGCAGATTTGCTACACTTTGGTCTTCCAAGGTGGAATCTGTTTGTTTTCTGTTCCTGTTCAAAAGTGAAGTGCAGAAATGCTTGAAGATATTTCAATCCATTCTGAGTATTTTCCACCACATGGTAACTATATTTATGGTTTCTTTGTTGTTGGTGTTGTTGTTTTGGGGTTTGTTTGGAGCTTTTT